CTCCTAAATTTTTAGAGTATTATTGCTTCTGATTCGTTTTGGTAAACGAGCCTTCTCGGGGTTTCTTGTTAGCCAGAGAAAGGAACAAGATTAATGCTTTGATTGATTCTAATGTTGTATTTTCTTGCAAAGACACACAAGTTAACAATTTGGATTGGTACTGATTAGTTATTCCCAAACCTTCTAGCATAAAAAGTTTTATTGATCTTTGAGTTAATTAGTTCAATTTAAATACAACTCTAATGTATAAAAATCAAAATGATTCCACAATGTTGTTGTATGATATCAAAATTTCTTCCCTTGAGCCAAGTTTCTAGTTTAGCAATATAAGAACACAAAGATTATGGAATAACTCTCCTTTATTAGCCTTAGAAATTACTCAAACTAAAGCTCACAAATCTCTCACAAGTTGTATCACAACCTTGATACATACTTATATATAAAAAGCTTTTGACCTAATCCTAATACAACAAGGATTTATATTAGATAACTCCTAATATAATTATTCTAGATAACTCCTAGAATAATAAAGCTTTATCTCCTTTTTCCTTATTAGTAACTTGCTCTTCAAGTTACTTAACCTTCAAGCTTACTTCCAACAATCTCCTCCTTAAGCTTGAAGTCTTCTTTCATCACATCTTGGACTCCAAGTAGCTCCCTCATTTCTTTAAACTTGATTCTACCAAGCGCCTTAGTTAGAATGTCCGCTCTTTGCTCATTTCCCGGAACATGTACCACTTCTATGTGCCCATTCTCAACACACTCCCTTATGAAATGGTATCTCCTATGTATGTGTTTACTTCTACCATGGAAAACCGGATTCTTTGTTAAAGCAATGGCGGATTGGTTGTCGATTAGAACAGTGACCTTCTCACAAGGTGTTCCAGCGATTTCACTTAGCAAATCTTGAAGCCAAATGGCTTGTTTTGCGGCTTCAGTTCCTGCCATAAACTCTGCCTCACAACTTGACATGGCCACTACATCTTGTTTCTGCGAACACCATGATATAGGACTTTCACCAAGATAGAAAACATGGCCCATTGTGCTCTTACCATCATCCGGATCAACGTTATGACTGCTATCGCTATAGCCTAACAGCTTTGGTACTTCTTTGCTCCGATTATACACCAATCCAAGAGTTGTTGTTCCTTTCAAATACCTTAAACATTGCTTCATCGCCACGGCATGAGGTTCTCTAGGACTTTGCATGTATCTACTCAAGATTCCCACACAGTATGACAAGTCCGGCCTGGTATGAAGAAGGTATCTAAGACACCCTACATTCTTCCTATACACCGTAGCATCCACTTCCTTCTCATGTTCTGCTTTTGACGCCTTTAGACCAATTTCCATGGGAGTGCGAACTGCATTACAATCTTTCATACCAGCTTCTTCTAGAATCTTGAGAGCATACCTTCTTTGATTCAAAGTTATTCCTCCATTGTGTTGTAAGACTTCAATTCCAAGATAGTATGTTAGCTTTCCTAGATCACTCATCTCAAATTTGAAAGACATCTCTTCTTTGAACTCTTTAATGACATCTAGGCTTGTTCCCGTGACAAAAAGATCATCAACATACACTGCTATCACTAGAAGATGCTCCTTAGTCTCTTTGCGGTAAACAGATGGCTCTTTTGAGCATTTTTTAAACTGCAATTCACAGAGAATGCTGTTCAACTTATTGTTCCATGCTCTTGGAGCCTGTCTTAAACCGTAAAGTGCCTTGTTGAGCTTGTATATCTTATCCTCGCTACCCTTTTTCTCAAAACCCTCTGGTTGGCAAACATAAACTGTCTCCTTTAGTTCTCCATGCAGAAAGGCCGTCTTGACGTCTAAATGGTGTATTTCCCATCCATGAGATGCTGCAAGGTCAATGAGTAACCTTATCGTTTCAATTCGTGCCACTGGAGCAAATACTTCCTCAAAATCCACTCCGTATTTTTGCACGTATCCTTTGGCGACAAGTCTAGCCTTATACTTGTTGATACTACCATCGGAATTCTTCTTGAGCTTGAAAACCCATTTTAGACCAATTGGTTTTATTCCTATGGGTAAATCAACAAGACTCCATGTCTTGAATTTCTCAATAGAATTGATCTCATCTTCACAGGCTCTCATCCATTCTTTAGTCTCTTTTGCTTCATGAAAACTTCTTGGCTCATCATTTAAACATAAGAGTAATACTTCACCTTCTTCTTCCGCCATTAGGACGTAGTCTTCAAGGTATTTAGGCTTTGTGATTTCTCTCCCTGTCCGCCTCAAGACTGGTGGCGTTTGAATATGAGTATCCATACTCTCTGTTTCATGATCAAGAAAATATTCAGCTCCTCCGTCATTATCATTGTCGGAGCTTTCAACACTTTGCTGCTCTGTTTCACTACTCTCCCCTGTTTCACCGTTCTCAACTGTTTCTTCAATGCCATGATTTCCAAAAACTCCAAGAGTAACACTAAAGCTTTCGTTTCCCCGTTTCTCTTGATTGTTCGCGTTCCAGTTCCATCCCTTAGTCTCATCAAAAATAACATCTCGGCTTACCACAATTTTCCGGTTTTGTGGATCCAACAAACGATATGCTTTAGATCCCGGCTCAGTACCTAGATGAACAAGCATACGTGATCTATCATCTAGCTTTTTCAAGTGTGGTGTCTCCACTTTTGCATATCCAATGCATCCAAAGACCCGTAAATGTTCAATGTTTGGTTTCCGAAGTCTAAAGCCTTCATATGGAGTTTTGTCCTTGACAGATCTTGTAGCAACTCGATTCAAAAGGTATGTTGAATGCCTTATAGCTTCTCCCCATAAGTAGTTTGGCACATGCATATGTTTCATGATACTTCTTGCCATCTCAAGTAAGGTTCTGTTTCGCCTCTCCACAACTCCATTTTGTTGAGGAGTGTAAGGAGCTGTGAGATGCCTCTTTATTCCATTGTCTTCACAAAAAGAATTAAACTCCTGAGATACAAACTCACCCCCTCTGTCAGTTCTGAAAACTTGTACCTTTTCTCCTGATTCTTGCTCTACTAGACTCTTGAATCTTTTGAATTTGACAAAGGCCTCATTTTTTTCTTTCAAGAGAGCTGTCCACATGTATCTAGAGTGATCATCAATGAGAACAAAGATGTATCTGTTACCTGCCATTGTGCTTGGCGTTATTGGTCCGCAGAGGTCTCCGTGTACAAGCTCAAGTCTCTTGCTTGCCCGATAAGAAGTTGCTTTTGGAAACACTTGTCTCACTTGTTTCCCGAGTAAGCATGAACTGCAAGTTTCCTTTTCAATTTTTATCTTTGGAATTCCCTCAACAAGTTCCTTTTGCATCATGTTCCTTATAGTCTCAAGGTTTACATGTCCCAATCTTGAGTGCCACATGCTTGAATTGCTCATCGTTGTTAAGTAGAGACGTGCGGTATCCTTTAAGTTCATTCTGACCTTGTATAAACGATTTTGTGATCTGTTTGCTTTAACAATCAACTTTCCCTCTTGATCATGCATTGTAAGAATGTCTCCTTTCATTCTTATATCACACCCGGATTCTGTAGCTTGTCCTAAGCTAATGATATTACTTCTCAACTCCGGAATGAAGTAAACGTTTGTCATTACTCTTGGATCACCGTTTCTGTCAACAAAGGATATTGATCCTTTTCCTTTTATATCGATTTTTGAATCATCACCAAAACGTACTTTTCCAGTGATTGAGTCATCAATCTTTGTAAAATATCGTCGATCCCCTGTCATGTGATTGCTAGCGCCGTTGTCAAGATACCAAATATTTTCTTCTCCAGTATTTGTTTCAAAGTTACTAGGAATACAGTTCTTCTCATTCAAAAACACTACTTCATGTATTAGAAGTTCATCTGCGTTTTGTGTATCACTGTTATTGGTTTCTTGAGCTTCTTGTAACTTGAGCAACCTATCTGGACAATTTGAGGCATAATGACCTATTTTATCACACCTGTAACAAGTGATTTTAGATGTATCCCTAGACTCAATAAATCTTCCTCTGCCTCTTCCTCTGGAGTTGAATCGACCACCTCGTCCCCTGTTTCTATACTCGCTATTAAACTCCCGACTATATCCTCCTTGTTGAGACTCAGTGTTTGAATACATCAACTTGGTTTGATCTTCCTGAGTTTCTTCTTCTTCCTCACATACCCGTTCTTCATATACCTTCAAGCGTCCAGTGATGTCTTCAAAGGATATAGTGTTAAGATCTAACACTTGTTCAAGAGACGCTACTATATGTATATACTTCTTTCTAGGAAGGCTTTTAAGAAACTTTTTCACAAGTTTTGATGTTTCAATGTTAACCCCAAGAGAAGCAGATTTCGATGCTATTTCAGATAGCTTTCCCGCAAAGAAATCGATGGTTTCAGTCTCTTTCATCTTCAAACGATCAAACTCATTCATTAGGGTTTGTAGTCTCGCCTCCTTAACCCTCTCTGCACCCATGTTCTTTGCTTTGATTGAATTCCATACTGCCTTTGCTGTTGTTACCTCGCCAATTTGTAGGATCATAGCCTCGGGTATGGACTGAAACAATAATGCTATTGCAACATCGTTTTTCTCTTCGTCTGTTGTACCCGCTTCTATGGTTTCCCACACCTTGTGAACCCTGAGACAGATCTTCATCCTCATGGCCCAAACCGTGTAATTCGTTGTTGTAAGCATGGGACATTGGATGGAAGACGAGCCTCCTCCTTCTTTTATTTTCCCCGTCGTAACGGCGAGCTCCGCCATGTTCCTCCGTGTGCTTTACGATCTTATTGTGCTCTGATACCAAATCTAGTTTAGCAATATAAGAACACAAAGATTATGGAATAACTCTCCTTTATTAGCCTTAGAAATTACTCAAACTAAAGCTCACAAATCTCTCACAAGTTGTATCACAACCTTGATACATACTTATATATAAAAAGCTTTTGACCTAATCCTAATACAACAAGGATTTATATTAGATAACTCCTAATATAATTATTCTAGATAACTCCTAGAATAATAAAGCTTTATCTCCTTTTTCCTTATTAGTAACTTGCTCTTCAAGTTACTTAACCTTCAAGCTTACTTCCAACAAAGTTTACTCGAATCGCCCGACCCTCAAGCTCAAATCCGTCAAGCGATTCAAGCGCGGTTTCCATTTCCGCTTTGGAAGAGTAACATACAAAGCCGTAACCCCTTGATCTTCCGGTATCTCCATCATACACAACTCTAGCTCCAACCACATCTCCACACTCTCTAAACGCTCCAGCTAATGACTCGGAAGTAACAGTCCACGACAAGTTACCAACAAACAGTTTGTGCTCTGTTTCTGGATACAGAGGTTCTTTATTAGGCTTTGGTTTGTCAGCAAAATTTACTTTCAAAGCACGACCAAGATACTCCTGAGAAAGACCAATCAAACAAACATCAACCAAACTGTGTTTTTGCCCTTTTTGTGTGTTTTCTAATAAGGCTACAAGAGACTTACAGTTCCATCGAGGTTATCGATGATGATGTTGCAATCTTCGACATTGCTCATGGTTACAAAGGCGAATCCACGACTCTGTCCTGTGTCTCTGTTGTAAAGAACCTCAACGAGCTCAGGGTTAGCGAAATCTTGAATGATTTGAGCCAGAGTTGCACTGTCAACATTGTAAGGCAAGTTACCAAAGTAAAGCTTAGTGTTAATGGCTGCAGGAGGATCAAGATCAACAGTTGAATCCTCCTCCTCCTTCTCTTCCTCTTCTAATTTGACGGTGATGGTCTCTGGTAAGACTCTGAAACGTCGTGAGCCACTGAGTGAGGAGATCAAGAGAGGTTTTAGAGGTGGAAAGTTGAATTTGAGAAGTGTTTGGTTAGATGATTTGCTGCAGCCATGAAGAAGGTTTGGTTGATGATTGAGTTTGAAGCACGAGAGTGGTACAGTTGAAGCTGCCATATCTCTCTGGACAGAGAGACAGAGAGATTGGCCTAAGACAGACGATTCTGCCCACAAAAAGATTTCGGATAAGGCCAAAAGAGTGATTGGCCTATCGGTGGCTATCGCAATCTTTAGAATCAAGTGTTTCTACTTTCTATGACTTGATGGGTGGTTTATTCCGGTTCGGTTATTTCGATTTAGTTTGGATTTCTTTGGTTCTGGTTTCAGAAGAATATTTCAGAATAAATGGAGATTGGTAGCTAAAAAATAATATAAATTGACATTGATATTGAGATTCCTACGTCATAAGTAGAAAGAAATAAAAATCAAATATTTTCTTATAAGAGTCTAAAAACCATTGGCTGGATTCGGTTGGATTTATTTTCAGCTTTTTTATTTCAAAGAAATCTAATATTGTTCGGTTCATAAAATATCAGTTCAATTTTTGGTTTGGTATGGGTTTGATGCAAATGTCCATCATTGTTGGTTTACTTAGCTTTTCTTTGTTACATTAGCCAAAAAAAATTATATTAAAAAAAAACAAATGTAAATTCAGTTTGATTTTCCATTCAAAGAAATACAATTTTTGAGAAAGTCTACTTTCTCTGTATAAGAAAATAACTCAATAACCAAAAAAATTGGTTATTTTCTGAAATAAACTTCCCATAAATGCATGAAAGGATGTGTACCTACCAATGATAAATCCAACTCAATGCAATTCTTACAACCATTTATACCTCACATACATCTAAATCAAATGTTTTTGGACTCATTTAACTAGTGTTTTTTTTACTTTCATTCCAAGAATTTGTGTAAACCACTAATGGCTTAAGACATAATAAATTGTAAACACCAACAAAAACATATGTTTTTTACAATCTTTTTTTCCATTGATTGCTTCATGGAGAACATATATAGTTATATACATTGACAGGACAAAAAAGGGACTTAGTTCTTTATCTCTGCAGAATTTTTTTACATCTTAATCTATAAAATTTTCATCTCCTATGTAAATTATAACCAGAAAGGAACATAAGAGAACAGTTTATTCAATAATGTTTATATCTCTTTCTTCTTCAGATTTCATCTTCTGATTGATCTCACACAGAGACTATGTTTCTTGTCCCTCACGCTAAAAACCAAACATCAACTCGTAGCTTCAGAGATGCTCTGCAATGATGGCCTCCATGTTTTTGATCTCGATGAAGCTGAATTCGTTAACACTGAACGTTGCTTCTCATCTTTCGTTTCCTATAAAAAAAAAAACACAAACCCATTAATTTTCTTATTTTTAAATAAATTGTTACATAAAAGCTTACTTTAAACTAACCCCACATCTAATTACTTTAATAAATCGAGTAAAACTTGATTCTTTAAGCTAAACCAATATCTTAAATTCTAAGTAAAGATTCCGTACCAGATTCTGATTCTTGTCGGAATCTTCATCAATCTTCTTCTCCGATGATGGCTTCTTCTTCTCCATACTCGTTTCACTTTGGTGCTTCTTTGTTTTCGCATACTTCTTGGCTCTTAAAACCTTCATAACCTCTGAAAACAAATCAAACACTAATTTAATCAGAAACCCATTATAAAAACACACAAAAATAAAAGAGTTATAAAAATACAAAAACAAACCTTGTGAAGTTATGAGACGATAAGCATGACCAAGTACAAGACTCTCCGTTGGTCGGAGAAGTTTCACGCGCGTGAACCTCACAACCCTTCTCTCGCTCTTATCATCCGTCGTCGTCGTCGTTGTCGCCGGAATATTCTTCTCTGGTAAAGGAATAATAAGAGAAACGTAGTGACCAGGATACATACGCATGATCTCACTAACGGAGACAGGACCGTAATATCTATCGATCTTGCCGTCAGGATGTTGTAGAACCAACGCCGCCGCATCAACCGCTTGACAATTTCCCATCTCTTACACACACAAAAAAATCTCTGTTCTTCAAAAAAATGTTATGATTAAAGATAAAAAACAGAGAGTAGAATGAGAGAGTTGTGTGAAAGAAAGAGGAAGAGAGAAGAAAAGAGTCTTTTTCGGGACAGCGTGAAGAGTTAGGTCCACCACACTGGCTTTGCTTATAAAACATGTGAAACCCCAAAAAAATGTTATTATTTTAATTTTGGTTACTTTATGATGTTTTGTGATTATTTAATTGGACTGTCATTTTGGGAGTTAATTAATGATAAGAATAATATTATTATTAAAGATTTGTAACCATATTGTTGCAGATTTGACTGTGGTTTCCTGAGACATCTCTGACGTTTACTTTATTTAATTTTTGTTATTTTTGGAGTTTATAATTTAATGGAATAGAGTAATAGGATGGTCGGAAAAATTAAATAGTTGATTTGAACGGGTGGGTGCCGGCACCGGAGATCAGGGACCGATGATTTTGACATTGTTTTTGTTCTTACTGTTTAAAATAATTTTAGTTGTTGCATTTATTTTCTTACTCGTTTTAGATCATGTGATAAGCCAATAAACCATAGTTTTTTAGCAGTTAATTATCGAATGTTGTAGCGTTTGACTTTTATTTAGGACTTGATTATACTACTACTACAAAGAATAACTTACCGTTCCAAAGTTAGTAAGTTTCTTTTTGCGTGATCAAACAAAATAATCAGTTACATAAATTACACTTTCTAAACAAAATGTAAGGGTTCTTCTTCTTTTTTTTTGTGAAAATAAGGTGTCTTCTTTTGTTTAATTTATAATTTTATATATTTGTAACGTTTTGATAAAATATAAGTTTGAAACGGCAGCTGTTCAAACTAATATTTTTCTCGAGTTGTTTATCACTTGTAACGTCCCACTTCTTTTGACGATATGTCGATATGTAACTGTTACTCCCTCTGCTTTATTATATAGGATGTCTTAGAGATTTTTTTATTTCATTATATAGGATTTTTACAACTTTCTATGTAATTTTTAAATATATTTGATATTCTATGATTATTTGTATTTTATTTTATATCATTGATTGAATTTTGTTAAATTAAATATTAAATATAGTTTTTGAAGGAAAAAAATTTCTTAAAATGTGTGCTTTTAACTAATACATCCTCAAAGTATTTTTTTCGATATTTTCTAACATGTAAAGTTTATCGGCGTCCAACTACCCATAATTCGGTATATATGTCATATATTTGAAAATTGATGTTAAAGATAGCTACTAATTTCTTTGTGTGTATGTTTTTTTGTTCACTTGTATAGAATAGAACATTTGATAGTACATTATTTTTTCAAGCCTAACTAACACACTTGCCTTGATTAGTCATACTGAAATGAGTGCATATTTTCAAATTCGACCGAATATAACATTTAATGCACGTTGAACTTGGACCATGGACAAAACGATATGGTATATAGATTTAGACGAATATAAGAAAAATCAGAGATACTGAAGATAGCCTAACTAATAGATCCAAAAAATCAATTTTGGTACCACTCATGACGAATAAAAATACAAAAATAAAAATATATTCTTTAGAAATTGCAGACAAAATAAACCAAAATATAGATAGATAAATAGCTCAAAAAATAAGATAAATAAAAACAGAAATTGTGGATTGGGTGGACAAGGGACACTGCAACTTCTTATCTCCTTTTTTCTCACTTTCAAGGACTTAAATGCTTTCTCTTGACATTTTATTTTTGTTTTTATTTACTTTTGCATGATTCATTCGGTTAGTACCGGTTTGGTTCTTTTGAAGTCCGGTTCATGTCGCAGATTGGTTCAGGGCTAAGAATGGGTCGTCCCGTTAGTGTTCTTGAATAGTAAATGTACCCATTCCTTCACCAAAGAACCCATATGGGAAACACTTCCATCTGAAATGGACAATTGTTACTACCATATCTACTTTTGGTAGTTAGATTATCCACAATGCAAGAAAGTTTTTTTGACCCATATAGTTCATTAGTTATCATTTGTTTAGTGACTAAATATACGTTCAACCACAAAATGATTGTTATTTATCTCTTTTTTGTCCTAAAATATTTGTTTTATATATTACATCATTATCTTCTTTTATCTTTTAAAACTATCGTTATCTTTTTTTCCAGGGGAAAAAATATCTAAAAACACCACTTTAATGATGACTACGTATGGAAGAGATATGCTAGGACTTAGGGTTTGATTATAAGACGAACTAAAGTGAGATTTCTAGGAATGATTAGATATCAGATTATTATCAGTGGAAGAATATTGAGAAATCTATAAAGTACATAGTTCTTCCGTCTCAATTGACTCAAATATATATATATATGGTACTTTTCTTAAAGTAAAATTTAGATTTAAAATTTAAAGACATGCGTGATAAAGGTTTCAGAAAACCATGGAAACCAAACGAGGTTTAAAATTCCAAAAGAAATATGTAACCAATATATAGACAAATCCAAGAGGTGAAAACATAACTTCAACTCGACAAAGTAATAGTCAAGTAATGTTCTAGTATATAATAATTAGCTAGTTATTACATGTCTCTAATAGCTAGTAATTATAAGGCTCATTTAAGGATTATCGCAAATGTATTACAAACAAAACTAAAAGACTACAATATTTTACTTTATTTTATGTGATTTCAAACTTTTCATATGTAATTAGAAGAACCTAACCTAGTGAATCTAAGTTTCTCTAATATATGTGATACGTCATGTAAATTGCAATGGCTAATAAGAGTCATATGGTAGTTTTAGGCCGTGTTTTTTGAGAATCGCACGACTCTCACCGGCTACTGTTATAAAAAACAAGTATATATTGTAATTATTTATAATTTAAAGGGTATATACGCAAATTTTGAAAATTCTTAATTAAAAATTGGATTTTTGGGTTAGATCCGTCATCTAATCCGTGAAATTCTGTAAAGCTCTGTCCATGATTTTTATACCAACGACAATAGTAGCTTGAAAATAAAGTATAAGTAGTGTCGCCACTAATTCCGGCAACTCCGGAATCATCAGAAAAGAGTTGCGCGACAGAAAATGAAGAAGAGAGGAAAAGGAGATTAAAGAGGGATGAATGTTGTTTATTGATCGCAGTCGTTATCGCTGCGATTTTGCCCCGAACAGGGCCTTACATTTCGAACAACCGGTTAATCAACCATCACCGGCTAAGTAAATGTTATAATGTAATACATGAAGAAGATACATGTGACCATCGTTCAATATTTTATGTTACTTTACACATTTATTCAAATTTTGTTTTTTAAGGATCACAGTAACTACCAAACGATATACAGTAAGGGCTTGATTGGTTCTCCCGCTAGCACCCTCCTAGCGGTTGCTAGCGGTCGGTTGCGGTTGTTAGCGGTTGGTACCAATCATAGAAACCGCTCCATACCGCTTCGAACCGCTCGAAATCGCTGAATTTCAAAAGCTCCTTCCCGCAAGCGTTTGCGGTTGCGGGCGGTAGCGGTTGGATAAAAAAAAAAAAAAAAAAAATCAAACGTTTACTTATAATTATTATAATATATGTTAATCTTATATATATCTTTCATCTTTTTATCATGTTCTCATCAGAAACCCTAATAATATTCTGAAACCCTATTCTCTTTAATGTCTTCCACCCAAACTGATGAAAATCAAGAACCAAACGTAAGTATAATATATCCTTTTATTCATTTATCACCTCATGTGTAACTTTTTGAATATTTTTTATGGCATCGTTTTTTTCTTTTCATTACGTATTGCTTTGCTTTTTGATTGAATATATGTTTCGATTTGTTTTCTCGAATAGAAACTCACTTGCTTTTTAATTGAATTCAACGTTATTTACAGTTTGTCCCATTACTTGATGCAATTTTTGATGTTAAACCAGATGCATAAGTACTATCTTGTTACAAAATTTCTTTATTTTTGAAGAATTATTTAGTACTTTATTTATAGTTTTAATTATTAAGCATGTTCAAATTTTCTAATATTATCATAATAATATATTGGTGTTTTTATTTCTTTTTTTGTAATATTTTTTATTTATTTTGGTCATTTTTTATTTAACTGCTACCGCACCCGCTGGTTTACCAGTCATAAAACTCCCGCAAATGCACCCATTTTCAAACGCTAAACCAGTCGTTCAAAACGCTTGGTAACGCTTGAAGCCGCAACCGCCCGCTTCCGTAAACTCCCGCAACCGCAACCGCAACCGCTACGTTTAAACCAGTCAGGCCCTTAGTATGGACCCATTTTGCTACATTTTCGAAGTTATTGGTCCGTCTAAAATTAAGAATATGCAAATATATACTCACATGACGTAATCAATTCCTCTAATAAATAGAACCGAAGATTCGAATATCCTATGGAAACGTCCTCATGATAAAGTAACAACATAATCGTATTATTAGATAAAATTAATAAAGTAATTACCTGACTCATGATGATGATCATTGCGCCCTTCAAAATTATATTTTCAATTGCAAAATATAATATCCAAAAAGAGTTCTCCTTCGTGGATACATCCTTACGTACGTCCCTACCTAATATTTTCACCATTCATTGATTTTGTACAAACTTTTTTTTTTTTAAACAAATAATAATAGCTAAAGTTAAAATTCAGATTTGCATATATACGGAGACCTAATCACGTTGACGTTTGTACGGCGACCAACACGCAAAAGAAAAAAGAAAAGATTTTGGATCGCAAATTATGTCCTTTGGTTCTTCATCAACCCAACATGACAAATTATAATAATCTTTTTACTTTCGTTAAACACAAACAAAACCAGCCTATTCTTCCACATCAACTTGGACTTGTTGGTGAAATATCTTGAGATGATTAAATAATTTATAGGAATAATGAAAAACAAATTAAGTATAATTAAAATTATGAGGATTTAGCTTATAATTTTAGTTTAAGACTTTAATTGTTGACATGTGTGAACACATGATCTGATACAACGGTCAGAGAGTGTGTGTGTGTGCCATGTGAAGGTGTTGGAAGGTCTTTCGTGTCTCAACTTATTAAATGTCTTTGACGATTGAAACTTCATTTTCAAGTTTGTTCTCTACATCGATATACTGCACATCCAAATCCATAACCATATATTAATTAAGTTTTTTAAATAACTTAATTAATTAACTTATTTAAACAACTATCAAACTTGTAACATTTTAAACCGGTCTGTCAAATTGACCGCAACTGGGCAGAATTTTTTTTTAAATCTTTTTTGGTTTTCCTTTTGTATGTTTACAATGTAGCTGTGAAACAATTAGTCCTACTTAGTAAAATTTAGGACTTTCAATGGGTTGATCCGATATCGCCAGGCTAAATCTTCGGAAATTTATAACACAAAACATTGTTTTTTTTCATATATAGTCATCCAGTCTATTGCGAGCAAGGTCATATCTTTAACATGTGCAATGTTTAAAATATTCAGTCTCAAACATGACTTGATTTAAAGAAAAGTTGTCTTTAATTTTAAAAAACTGTTCATATAAATTTTGGTCTATGAGTTATATAAAAAAATTACACATCAAATAGGTTAATCTTACGAAAAACAATTCACATAATCTACAATTAATTTGAGAAGGACATGCCCTAAAATTGTGAAGACCAGTTTTATTTTGTTTATGTATATAGTGTTGTTAGACTAAATTGGAAAGGGTTTGGAATAATTATGATCTAAATCATATATATGAAAGGAGGTCAACTCTCTCCATCCTTCCGCCACGTCAGCATTTTAGGCTATTCTGGAGCTGACACATCAGCTTTCTATCTTCCAATCAAATCATTTCATTAATATGATTCAGCTTTTATTTTTTACACATCATCTTTTAATTAGAATTGTCAAATGAGGAAAACACAATAGCCCATGAGGGATGGGCCATATGGATTTGAAAATCTATTTCACAAGTTAATAATATATTTATTATTTAATTATATATATTATTTAATTTTATATATTGATTTCTACTAATACTAACTTATTTTGTTATTTTATGTTTTTATCAATGCAATTATTTTATTGGTTTAATATACTCCAAAGTTTTTTTCGCTAATTTTTGTAATCTTAACTCAAAATATGAGTAGATAATTGTATAGTGGATTAGCTAATGGTTTGAATAAGTTTTTCTCTTAATTTTTTTATCTATATATGACACTGAGGGTGGAGAGTACGTAAGGTCATCAAATTTTTGAGGTTCTACAATCCCAACATTACCATCTATAAAATTGGTTTAGGACATAGATTGGTTACAGATTGTGTGAGTGATGCATTGTTGAGTATGTTGGTTGAAAATGTATTTTAATACTAAGAGTAGTTGTTCATTGCATGAGTAAATGATTAGATAATTAAAAATTATATTTATCAAAATATAACATCAAGTAAATCAAAATATAAC